CCCTCGCCACAGACGCCAGCCTTCTGGATAGGGCGTTACCTCCACTCGTTCTCAGCTCAGGGCACATGGTCAGCAGCCAAGCTATGGTGCAGCATAAATTGGCTGGAGCTTCACGCCGTATACCTGGCCCTACGCAGCTTCCTCCCCCAGGTACGCGGACGCCACATCTTCATTCTGACAGGCGCACGTCATCAGACGGGGACACACACCCATTTGGCTCATGAGGGAGGCTAAGCGTCTCTGTCGCTGGGCAGAGACCAACCTCCTTCCACCAGGGCAGCTTACATCGGGGGCCTCAAACATTCAGGCAGACTGGCTGAGCAGGACCACTATAGTCCAGTCAGAGTGGCGCCTGCTCCTCTCCCTGTTCAGGGAAGCCTCAGCAATATCAGGCCAACCACTAGTGGTACCATTTGCATCATGTTCAATGCCCAGCTCACGAGACTTTTCTCGAGGTACCCCGCTCTGGGGGCGGAGAACCACACCGCCTTACGTTGTCCCTGGCCCTCAGGGCTGCTTACGCATTCCCCCACTTCCGTTGATCCCCAGGGTGATCCTAAGGCTGATTCGCGAGAGGGCGGAACTCTCTCGGCTACCCCACACTGGCCCAGGAGACTGTGGTACACAGACTTCGCACCCCGTCAGTGGCCCTTCCCTGGAGAATCCCACTGGGCAGAGTCTCGTTATCCCAGGGACCCCTCCTGCATCCTAACCCGCAGGGGCCTCATCTGGCTATCGGAAGGTTGAGCAGGACCGCTTAAGGAAAGAAGGGCCTGCCAGCCAGGCCATCTATACCATTCTGACAGCAACTCGGTCCTCAACCACCCGTACGTATATATAATGCCACATGGGACATTTTTTTGGTAGATGATGCCGCGATCACATAGTGATCCACTCTCTCCATCTATTGCACAAATATTAGCCTTCATGCAAGGCGAACTGGATAAAGGGCTAGCTCCTAACTCCTTGAGACGACATGTTGCAACCTTATCAACCGTCATCTCCTGTGGCAATATTGGCTCGCTTCCACCACCCTCGCATCCGAGCATTCCTTAGAGGAACTGCCAGCTGGCATCCTCCAGTGGTACACCGATACCCAACTTGGGATCTTAATGGGGTTCTCCTGTTACTGCTAATCCTCCCTTCGAGCCCTTAAGGGAGACATCACTTCAATGCCTAACGTTCAAACTAGTGTTTCTAGTGGCAGTCTCATTTGCTTGTCGGATATCTGAAATCGCAGCTCTATCCGCCAGAAGGATCTCGGCGTTTTTCACGCTGATCGGGTGGTCCTACGACTGGACCCTTCCTTCCTTGCCCAAGGTTAACTCAGCCTTTCACGGATCGCAGGAACTTTTTCCTTCCTAACGGTTGTCCCAGTCCCTCTCGAGAGAGAGGGAAAGACACTGGCATTCTTCATTGTCAGGTATGCGCTTTGTATTATATCAGCCGCACTCAGCCTTTCAGGTGGTCGGAATCATTATGCTGTTCGTTTCAACCTAAGACGCTGGGTATCAAAGTATCCCCGTCGACTGTAGGCCATTGGATTAGAGCTACACTCTCCAAGGCCGACTTGGTTCAAGCACTCCTGTTCCCAGAGGAATAACCGCACATTCCACAAGGAGTGCGGCTACCTCAGCAGTTTGGGCAACTCAGACATTGATCAATGACACCTGTCGAGCGGCCATCTGGTTGTCCCTGTCAACTTTTCATTCCTCTTTACAAGATTGATGGTTTGCTTCAGTCGAAGTGTCCTCTGTCAGTCGAGCCCTACAACAAGTTGTTTAGAAACCAGAGGAGATTCCGACCCAGACGGAGTCCCTCCCATAGGACAAGCCACGCTTTGGTATGTTCCACTCTGGATGCTCGGAGCAGCTCGATGGAGAATGGGCATTGGTGCTTACCTGATACGCCCTTTCTCGTCGAGCTGCGTAGAGCATCCAGCCCCACCCTAATTTAGCCGTCTGGTGGGGAATCCTGTTTCGGCCAATGAATCAAGGAGTCAGAGATTAATGTTTTACAATGGTCAGGATGAGATGATAGTGTTTGTCTTCTCGTCTTCGTAAAACTGGGGAATGCTCCGAGGGAGTCACATGGACAGGGAGGAGCGTTCCTCAATTAAAGCTCAGCTTGTGAGTGCAGAGACTGGAGCACCTCCCACTCTGGATGCTCTACGCAGCTCGACGAGAAAGGGCGTATCAGGTAAGCACCAACGCCCATTTTGGTACTAGGTACTAGTTTGGTATTTTGGTATTAACTGCAAAATTCTAGAATTCATTGCTGTTCTTTAATACTGGGTACAATACCCATGTACTTTATTCACTTTCACACTTCAAATTTTATTATTCTATTCATCTGGATAAAGTTGATATCCAAAGTGATTGCTTGTAGCGATATTTATATTTGTTCAGTTTTTTTGCTGCGGTGATCCAGTTGGGGTTAAGATATTTTTGTTGTCCATCTCCATCATCTGAGAGTTTATCCAATTGGGCATATGTAATTATACGGTCATCACTGTATTGCACTTGTGTCAAATTGATGTCAGATGAATGTACAATGCATTCCACCAATTTATATATCCATGTTAATGCTATTATTATAACATTTTTGAAGTTAGTTTGTCATCAGGTTTCTTCTGATAAAACTTTAGCATTCATCTTTCACGTCATGTTGTAGTTTTTGATGGTTGTAAGTTGTTGAGAATAACACAAATTGTACAGTATTAGTTGCTGATTTTCCCGCTTTGACAAGCTGCACTAGGAAAGTCCCCCTATTTGAAATATTCTCTAATAATTTCTGTTAGACTAGAAATATATTCTGACCTACTGTGTGGCAACTTTTTATGTTCTTTGAATAAGAAAAAGAAATGCAGAAGATTTTTCCAAACAAAACTTAAGGTATAAAAGCTTGAAAATAGAAAAATCTTAGAGCAGTGTGCAAAAGAGAAATTGACAATCAGCTCAAAAAAGAGACAGATTTAAACAATCTGTAGATAATTACAATTGGGAAACATTTTTTTTCCCTACAATGTCATCATCTTTTCTCTGTGTCTGTCCTCCTTTTGGGTCTTTGTGTGTGTGGGGGGGAGGTTTGTTATATTGTAGATTAGATTGCCATTTAAGAAAGGAACAGAGAGACTTCTTAAGGGTCTTTTGAATAAAGAACTTGAGTCAGGGCATTCGTCACCAGGGTTGTGTGTGTGTTTATGTAGGTGACCGTTTGTTTTCCCCAAAGAAAACAGCCTTTTGATGCTTTTTTTAAGTTGTGAAAAAATAGCAACGAAGTCTGTCAAGAGAATAGACCTCCGGTGCTTTGAAAGTGATGTATGTAGAAAACTGGTCCAAATTCAAGGGAGACCTAGTGTAATAACAAGAAAAGAACTTCTAGGAGTTGATTCATTCTTTAACATTTTAGAAACAGTGTAAAATGTGTAAACATTTCTGTGCTGTATTTGAAAATGATGCATAGTGACTTCTGCAACAGAACAAAGAAATCAAGTTTAAGAATTAAATAAATCAGAAATACAAAAGCTAAAATTTGTCTTTGAAGAAAATATATTTCAAAAGGAGGATACTGGAAGTCATCTAGAATTTTGAATGCCTCTGGACTTTTCTGTGTCATGCTATGACATAATGTTGCTGCTTTGCCTTTGATCTAACTTGTTGCACTAACCCACACATGAATAGTTTTAAATTGTATTATATAGTTTGCCATTCAACTAGAGTTCATTCAGTAGATGACTAACCATAGCTCAATGGATGTCCTTGATGTTCTCTGAGCTGGTTATTTGCTTATAGGCTTTTCATTGTCTGATTAGCTGAAGACCATATTGGAAAAAACCTCTTAGAGTCTAGTTGGCTGGCAAAACTGACTAAAATGGCAGATCACATCTCCATAGATCAGATTTTGATTACTGTTTGGTAGGAAGAAATAAAATTAATTGCCTTCATATCCTGTTTGTGGGCCTCAATTTTTTTTTTAAAAAAGAGGCTCCCAACCAAATAAAATTACATATAGTCATCATTTTATTGTTCTAATCAGTATCATAAACGTTATTATTAAGCAACCCAGTTGTATGTCGAAAAACCACGACTGCACCACTTAGTGACAGCAGTACTGATTGCCTTCATTAAACAAGGATCACATAGGTCATTAAGCGAGGAACTCATGTGTCTTCTGATTTCCTCCTAGTTTCCTCATTGACTCTGCTTGTGGGAAGCCAGCAGGGAAAGTTGCTAATCACAATCATGACTGCTGGATGCTATGAAAACCATAAGTACAAGGTCAAATTTTAACTAACACTTGTTCAGCACTGTCATAAGTTTGAACAATCATCAAACAAGTGGCTATTAAACAAGAACTGTTACCAAATATTCACTAGCTTTCTGAACATTCATATTAGATTTCTTCAATGAGAATGTGATTAAGAAAGAACTTGAGAAAACATTGATTGCCATAAGTCGATCATGGTAAATTTGTTTGATATTGACTTCCCAACTTATGCACAAACCATAAATTGCATGCTGTTTATACATGAAGGTTTACATGTAGATTGCAAGTTATATCTCAGGTTGCAATCTCTTCTATGCAGTATAACAATATTAAGTTATGACGCAGTAATATATGATTATATATCTGATACATGTGTGAACATTCAAACTTTACAGAATTTGTTGGGTGAAATACTCCTAATTTAAAAGAAACAGCAAATTAATACAACCAGGTTTTCTCTTTTTAACAATGTGCTACTTATGTAACACAGTTCTTTAGAGTCTTTTAGAAACGGATTAACAGTGAAATTGATTCATTCTTCATTCTGAATCCTTGAGTTTATATTCTTAGCCTTAGAGGAAATAAGTCACTTCAAGTCTCAAAAGTTACAGAAAAGGGGAAAAGAAAGCAGAAACTACCATATGTATGTAAATGAGACTGCTCTAATAGTGCAGATGAGGAAGTTGTTACAACCAACAGCAGAGACGAAGCTCATGCAAGGAAGTAGATCTGTTGTAGTATTGAAAGCAACCCTAACATTCAGTAGCTGTTCAGCTTACTCATGATCATGATGCATTTGGAAGAAGATCTATTTGTGCTTGATGAAGCGGATGATACCATCTGTGAAGGTAAATTACATTCCATAACACTGTTTTTTAGCTGTTACATGCTGGTTGTAGGTTAATGGCACATTACTGATTTCTTAAAGGTCCAAATGTTGAGTATAAGAAAGCTAAGGATAAACCTTTCACAAAGATAAGTTGTCTCGGTTAAATAAAGTGCTAGAAGAATATGCAAAACAATAAATTAGATTTATAATAAGTAGAGAAATGAGTTCTAAAAGTATTTTTGCAAAGAAGTTTTCGCTCAGAAGTAGGACTCAATAGGGGAGTTACTCTATTAAATCTACACAAGATTGCAGCTTAATTTGTAATCCAAATTCAATTATAATTACATTCCATAGTAATTATATTAACATGAGCTATCTGTGATTGCAATCAACAAACTATTCCAGCAACTATAGTTGTAACTCCTGCACTAATACAGTTTTCATTTTCAGCAGACAGGTAAAAAAATTGCAATACTGGTAGTTTCAGTACAGTTATTATGTCTCTTCAGTTTCAGAATGAAAGATCAATTTTCAGATTTTTTTTTAAAAAAAGACAATGGATATAGTATTGATAGTTTATCGGCTTTTGCTCTCTGAATTGTCAACATATATAAAATTTAATGTTCACTTCCCAGTTGAAATTTTAGCTTGGTCATAAGCAGTTTGTGGGGGTCAACAATCATACTGGTATCTTTTAACATCAGTTCCTCATTTATTTTATTGAGCTCATACCACTCAACTACCTTGTTTATATATTTCCCCTTAGAGAAAAAAATGTATGTAGATAATGCCTGGCTTTCTTTGTATGGATGTTAAACATTTGTGTTAGATAAATTAAGTTTAATTAAATTTAAAATGCATTTTAATTTAAAAAGTGACATCCTGGAAACTATTACGAAAAGCAAAATTGTATGAAGCATATGGGTGAATAAAGTAAGTGCAGGAATAATGCAGTTGTGGGTTTCCCAGACTTTCAAGAGAACATGCATTAAAAAGTGGCAAAGAGTGTTTAGACTGCTGCAGTGTTTTGTTCAAGTACGTTAGAAAGTCAGAGGCAATATGCACATTATTGTCATGTCTTCATTGATGAATATTACAATCAGCAGGACAATTGTACACCTCCTTTAGCATTGAATTTCTGGGCTCTTAACAGCAAACTTACTAGAAGGCCAAGGGGTGTCAACTGGAATCATGAGCATGGATGGAGATTTCTATTTACAATATGTTTATAATAATAATAAAGATAACATATTTATAAACTATATACAGTATATTACTTCACTGTACAGGTTGGACTTTGGTTAACAATAGTAGTTGGGACCAGAATTTCTGTTTCTAAACAATGCAGTCATAAAGTGAAATGTCACATAACTACATCACTTAGGGCAGCGGTCCCCAACCTTTCCAGCTTGGCGACCTAGCCTGGTGCAGCAGGGTGTATGTGAGTGGTAGGCACATACACATGCACATAGCTCCATTGTTGCGAGTGGCAGCTGGGTATGGCCTCCACTCACGCCAATGGAGCTTCATGTAAAAGCAGACATTTGCTCACAAGCACAAGTGCTCTCCGCTTAAATGCTCTCTGCTGATGCAAGTGGAGCTTCGTGTGTGAGCGCAAGGACCCACTGCTCCCATGAGTAGCACTTCGTGCACACACTTGCCTGCCACTTGCCCATCTCACATGCAGACCGGTTTCGAACAGGTCATGGCCCCGTAGTGGGCCACAGCATTGGGGTTGGGGACCCCTGACTTAGGGAGAGCAATTCTGGCAATCCTGGTTTCTGCTGTTAACCAAATCCCATCTGATTATTAGGTGAGGACTCATCTTGATGGAAGCCATTCCTGGGTAGTTCTCTCCCTCCCCAAGCCTCAGACTGCCTTCTTTGCATCTCTATCCCCCCATCTCTGCCCTTTTGGCCATACCATACTCAGCTGCCTTTGCCAGCCCTGGTCTCTCCACCTGATTTTTGCCATCATTTTCCTCCTCCTGCTGACAAGGGGCACCTTTGCAAGGTAATTTCTGGATGTGCCATGCCTTCTTTTTGAAGCTGCATGTGCCTTTATCCAAATTATGTGTGATCTTCAAACAGCGGCAAATGGCAGAGATGCAAATACTTGCACATCAGGAGTTAAAGAAACTGCAGAAGATAACTTGCTGAATTTATTTACTTTGACAGAATGAGGTTACTAAATAATGTTCTACTTTTAAGAGCAGTAGTATTTTAATTCTTATTGTAAACACTTCTGTATTTTTCTGCTATCATGTAAGTAATTTGCACCTTTTCAACTCAGAGCACCTTCCATATCCATGAAAATGTGTTGACAAAATTTGCATTTATTCCTTCTTCAAAGCATCAGATTTTTATATACATTATTTTACTTTTTGTAGCTGGAAGTTTTGTGGAGATACTATTTTTCAGTATAATATACTACAGGTGAAACTCAAAAAATTAGAATATCATGCAAAAGTTCATTTATTTCAGTAATGCAACTTAAAAGGTGAACCTAATATATGAGATAGACTCATTACATGCAAAGCACGATAGTTCAAGCTGTGATTTGTCATAATAGAGATGATGATGACTTACAGCTCATGAAAACCCCAAATCCACAATCTCAGAAAATTAGAATATTGTGAAAAGGTTCAATATTCTTGGCTCAAAGTGTCCCACTCTAATCAGCTAATTAAGCCATAACACCTGCAAAGGGTTCCTGAGCCTTTAAATCAGGGGTGTCCAACCTTTCACCTTCCCTGGGCCACATTAGAAGATGAAAATTTGGTTTGGGCCGCACATAAAATAACAGTAACGATACCTGACCATCCAAAAAAAACATAGAAAACATAGTTAACATATTAAATTTATTTGGAAATGAAGTTAGTGAGATGTTTTTATTATTTATTATTTATTAAAAATTATTTATTTTTTATCACGGTTTTGTTATCATGGTTTTTTTATCATGGTTTATTTTCCAGCCAAATTTTGCGGGGGGGGGGGGCGGAGCTCGACCGCCTTGCGCCTACCTCTCCTCCTGCAAATGGCCCGGCTGGATGAGGCAGGACTGGAAGGCAGAAGCAGCAGCGGCGGCGGGGACAAAAGCGGTGGCGGTGGTGGGGGAAGAAGCAGTGGTGGCGGGGGCAGCGGCAGCAGAAGTGGCAGCGGGGGCAGAAGCAGCAGCGGGGGCAGAAGCGGTGGCGGGGGAAGAAGCGGCGACGATGGTGGGGGCAAAAGTCGCAGCGGGGGCAGAAGCGGTGGCGGGGGCAGAAGTGGTGGCGGTGGCGGCGGCAGCAAAAGCAGGAGGTGGCGCTCTGACGGCGCCCGCCTTTTCTGTTGCTGCTTGGCCTGGCGCTCGCCTCGCCCCGCCCCGCCCCGCACCTGCCTCTCCTCCTCCTCGCTGGCTCCGGCACGAAGGTTGGGGTGGGCACTGGGCCGCATTACGAGGCGACTTGGGCCGCATGCGGCCCCTGGGCCGCGGGTTGGACAAGCCTGCTTTAAATGGTCTCTCAGTCTGGTTCAGTAGGAATCACAATCATGGGAAAGACTGCTGACCTGACTGTTGTGCAGAAAACCATCATTGACACCCTCCATAAGGAGGGAAAGCCTCAAAAGGTAATTGCAAAAGAAGTTGGATGTTCCCAAAGTGCTGTATCAAAGCACATTAATAGAAAGTTATGTGGAAGGGGAAAGTGTGGAAGAAAAAGGTGCACAAGCAGCAGGGATGACCGCAGCCTGGAGAGGATTGTCAGGAAAGGCCATTCAAAAGGGTTGGGGACTTCCACAAGGAGTGGAGTGAGGCTGGAGTCAGTGCATCAAGAGCCACCACACACAGACGGATCCTGGACATGGGCTTCAAATGTCGTAATCCTCTTGTCAAGCTGCTCCTGAATAACAAACAATGTCAGAAGCGTCTTACCTGGGCTAAAGAAAATCAGACCTGGTCTGTTGCTCAGTGGTCCAAAGTCCTCTTTTCTGATGAGAGCAACTTTTGCATCTCATTTGGAAACCAAGGACCCAGAGTCTGGAGGAAGAATGGAGGAGCACACACTGCAAGATGCTTGAAGTCCACAGTCTGTGTTGATTTGGGGAGCCATGTCATCTGCTGGTGTTGGTCCACTGTGCTTCATTAAGTCCAGGGTCAACACAGCTGTCTAGCAGGAGATTTTGGAGCACTTCATGCTTTCTTCCGCAGACCAGCCTTATGGGGATGCTGACTTGATTTTCCAGCAGGACTTGGCACCTGCCCACACTGCCAAAAGCACCAAAACCTGGTTCAATGACCGTGGGATTTCTATGCTTGATTGGCCAGCAAACTCGCCTGACCTGAACCCCATAGAGAATCTATGGGGCATTGCCAAGAGAAAGATGAGAGACATGGGACCGAACAGTGCAGAAGAGCTGAAGGACACTATTGAAGCATCCTGGTCTTCCATAACACCTCAGCAGTGCCACAGGCTGATAGCTTCCATGCCACGCCGCACTGAGGCAGTAATTGCTGCAAAAGGGGCCCAAACCAAGTACTGAGTACATATGCATGCTTATACTTTTCAGAGGTCCAATATTGTTCTACGTACAATACTTGTTTTATTGAATGCACGTAATATTCTAATTTTCTGAGAATGTGGATTTGGGGTTTTCATGAGCTGTAAGCCATACTCATCTCAATTATGACAAATCACAGCTTGAATTATCTTGCTTTGCATGTAATGAGTCTATCTCATATATTAGTTTCACTTTTTAAGTTGCATTACTGAAATAAATGAACTTTTGTACAATATTCTAATTTTTCGAGTTTTACCTGTAGTTCAGTGTAGTGTTGTAACACAGCTATTTTATATGTTTTTCACTGCATATACTTAAGCAAATACTGAGTGTGCAGTTTGTTACCGTGTTTCTCATATAATAAGGCTGGGTCTTTTTTTTTTTTGAGCCCCGAAAAAATGGCTAGGCCGTCTTTTGGGGGGGTGACTTATTTCCCCCCCTTGCATCTTCGGGCGGGCGGCGATGGCTTGGATGTTGACCT